ATAAGACTGACTTCTGTTCCTGACTGCTCTTACTGCACTGGCTTCCCAGACTTCACAATAGCCCTTAAAAACTAGCACCAAGATGAGCACATGGACACAAACAGGAGAGACAGAACTGGAAATAAGCTGGCTATTACAGGAGAACTTACTCATCACCAACCTTTCATCTTTCCAGCTCTAATCCCCAGAAACACTCGCTAGTTTTGAGAGACAGATGTGAAATACCAGAGGGATGCAAGCTTTTGCAGAAATAAATGTAGAAACAGCTTCTGACAGAAACAGGCTTATAAACACTCAGCACCTGTGAAAGCCACGGTCTGGATCTCCCTGATTAGGCACACAAAATAGGCGTCTTGAAGGCCTGAGCCTGTACCTTCATTTCATTTAATTATTTCCTGCAATCAATACGTTGAAGGGAAAAGTAAGCATTTGGAAGACTTTTCTGCATCTTCTTTGAAGAAGAAATGCAAGCTATGTTACTTACAGTGCAAAAATGCTTCACTCATCATGTCTCACGACCATTACTTTAACATCCACAAGGGAAAGTCTGAGCTGGCACAGACAGTAACCAATACTATCAAGAGTCTTGCCTATGCATTTCTGCACTCAATCACACTCCTCCAGGATCAAACTCAGGTTTCTGGCAATGCTTCCACTACAACCAGCTAACAGGCACACTATGCATTTGGCCATTATTTTGGTTGGAAGAAAACAATATACATCCCAATTTCATGAATATTAATCTGCCTTCATTAGTTCTTCTTAAAGGCTCATGTTTTCATGTCTGTAGAATTACCTTTCACCAAACACATTTCAGCCTCTAAAACTGCAATGGACAACCTTGCCAGGAATTAGCCAAGAAGAGAGGTTAGCTCAGTGTAGGTGGTTGACCTTTAGGGCAGAACTTGTCAGTTGAAAAACAGTGAAACAAACGTGGCCCAACAAAATAGCAAATAATTGTCAGTTGACAGACAGCGTTGAGTTCTCACTTAAGCTAACATCCACGTGATCAATTCCTTTTATCTAATTCATTATTTATAAGTCATTCATCCAGTCTTCTCAAGCATTTAGTGCATATTTAATTTTCACAACACCTGTTCATCAGAGACATAAACACCACATTTGCCCAAGGAGGCTGTGGATGCCCCATCCCTGGAGGCATTCAAGGCCAGGCTGGATGTGGCTCTGGGCAGCCTGGTCTGGTGGTTGGTGACCCTGCGCATGGCAGGGGAGTTGGAACTAGATGATTATTGTGGTTCGTTTCAATCCAGGCCATTCTATGGTACTCATTCTATTTTACGATTCTATTCAGGCCAGGGTAGGGTTACATTATGCTCCTTTCCCAAAAATTCAGTAGGCATCAGTGGCAAAGCCTTGAACTGACAAACTCATTTTCATCCCATTTTTTTCTCTAATCTTTAACATTTTGTTCAACACTCTGATCACAAGTTGAAGTGCTGAAAAACACATGCATATTTCTACCTCAAGGCAGAGCTGGCAGGACTCAGTGGGGAAGACTATATTTGTTGGAGATTTGAATCTCTTTAGGAAATGAATCACTTAAATCATGCCCTTCATAGAATTAATATTCAGGGTCATCAACTGAGTTCATAAGTTCAATTAACACCAAAGGAAGCTGAACAGCAAAATAGTCTCATTTAGCCGTCTGAAAATATGCCCAATAGATCTCTATTAAGCTAATTAAAGGATGACATTCCAGACTGAATGTCCAATCATTGCACTTCCTTGGAGAAAAAGCATCCCAGGTGCTCCCAAACACAGCAGGTTACATGCTGTCTAAACTGCTGGTGCTGGAAACAGCTCTGATACAAATATTACAGCTGAGCCAGCTACCTACCTGCACTTCAGGAAACAGAATTGCACAGCCCGCCCTATGGCTCAGTAACAGGGACTAAGCACTAAAGCAAAATGTGGGGACAAGTCACAAGCAAACCAGGACAATGGAAAATTCAGCATCGTGGTGTAGACAAGTACGTGGCTAGTTTAACATATACAAAACATCTGAACTCAATTTCTCATCTTCCCCTTTCTCACACTAGGACCACTGTCTCAAAAGATAAATTCGAATAATCTCTACTTCTCCAGAGCTGTGGTTTCAAAAGCAGCCAATGGCCTTTTATACCTTAAGGAAAAAAAAAAAGGGGGAGGGAGGTAGGAAAGAGTAACAGTTTATACCTTCTCCTCCTTATGAGCAGAAATCATTGCTCAGTTCCAACAGAAAAACAAGGATTTAAGTAACAGCACAGCCTCTCTGTTTAAAAGCACTAACACCAGCAGAAGCCAAATACTGTGTTGTGAAGAAAGAGAAACAACACTGACTGGGGCACTTACTAGATCTGCTGTTTCTGGAACTGAGCCAGTATCTACCTCAAATGGGCATGATAGCTGATGAATCTCTATCCCACATTCTCCTACAGTATAGATACACTGTAAATAGTGAACTTGCCAGAATATAGCAGAGGGAAGTACTGATATATTTTTCTTGCATTCAGTATATTCTAGTGACTCAAAAATCTCCTACTAAACAAGCTTAAACATTCCCTCTGCACAGAGAGTACTCAAATTACTCATTTATCTGCTGGTTTTGGAATAGAACTCAAAAATATATATATTTTTCTCCTGAACTGTTTTCCAATCTGCGCCTAGCACTGCCAATATGTTGCAACTAAGGATTTCAGATCCAAATTATGAACTAGGGTCACTTAGATTGAAGATGCATACCATTTTTCCACCAACTCTAATATCAGAGAATATTCCAGACTACATACCAGCCTCTTTGCTGCTATATCCAGTAGTGTTATAGTAAAAAGGGTGAACAGAAGGTTCAAAGTGGATAAGCAGCCAAAGGCTGATATGTGTTGAAGCAGATGATGCAATCCACTGCTGTTCAAGATGAAAAAAAAGTTAAGGAGTACAGTCAGGATCTCTCCATGATGCACCAGCCTTAGTTGTATTTCTGGCCATTGCCTCGTTTTCAAGGCTATCTTTTTACAGTGTTAGGAATCAACTTGTCACAAGGCTGTTCTTTAACAAATAACTAGCAAAAATGAGCTTTCATCATAGTTTCATTGGTACATCACAAAGGAAACTCCAGCCCAAGATGATTTACCTGGAGTCTAATAGGAACTTGTTAGCAGAGAATACAAGAGAAATATCAGAGTGCTGGTGAAATTAGTATTTCTCAGGGACAGTCTCAGGTTGTGTAGCAGTGCCATATTGAAGGTCCCACTACCAAAGCTGATTCCAATTCTCTAACATACCTTTCATTTTTTAAGAAACGATAAACAGCAAGAAAAAACCCACACACTGCCTCCACATTGACACTTGTCAAGATACTTTTTTAATTAAAAAATAAAAAAACAACAACAAAAACCAACAAAGATTCTACAGTAAAACAAATGCAACAACAAAAACTTTGAAAGAAGAAGAAAATAGGCAGATCTGTAAAGAAGCATTAGGCAAGTGAAAAATGAGCTAACAGCCAGCTAAATCATACAGAATGAAAACAGTACTTAATATAAAGAGACCATACCCTTTACAGAAGACAAAGGCTGTCAAATTGGAGGGTAAAAAACTAAATTTTCTCCAACCACACTGCACAGTAAACAACCTAATGGATCTCCTGGGAATTACTCATCTAACTGTGTTGGATGTGCATGTATCCGGAATTGGTTGTATCAGACCTGTGCTACATCCATTCCTTATTGACAGGAGGCCACTTATGGACTGCAGCTGACAGGCATCCAAGAGTAGCAAAAATAAGCTCTCCAATTCCATAATTTCTTTGTGCAAAGCCATACCAAGATGAGTGGAGAGAAATTAGGCAAGAAAAATACTCCCAGGAGAGTATTATCATTGTGGTTTAAAAAAAAAAAAAAAGGAAAAAAAAAGGTCATCTTTGTCTGCAGTTATTAGTGGTTGCTGTCCAGAAAGATATCCAGGACAGGATAAATTCATAGCAACGCTTCTACATACTCTCTTATAAGCTCAATTATGTACTGCCAAATACTTCTGAATAAGAAAGGGTACTTCTGCATTATCAAAGGTTTCAAATGACTTCTTCCATGGATCTGTTGAGAGGTTTTTTGAACTAATGCAAACTTTTTTTTTTAAGCATTCATAATGTTTTCTAATATGGAAATATCTCACACCTTAATTATAAGCTACATGACATAGTATATTCCCTAAGGTTTTCAACATTCTCATCTGATGCTTTCTAGTTGTTCTGTTGGAAGGGACAGCTGTCGTTGTTCTATCCTTGGAAGTGTTCAGGGCCAGGCTGGATGGAGTCCTGGGCAGCCTTGTCTACTGGGTGGTAAACCTGCCTATGACAAGGGGGTTGGAACTGGACGATCTTTAAGGTCCCTCCCAGTCCAAGTCATTCTATGGTAGCAAATAATTTTGCCTGTTTATTTCCTCCACAGCTTCGATTTCTAAAAGGAGATCTTAACCAGCACTTCCATTGTGAGGTGTGGCCAAGTGAAGACAAGAAAAAAGGATGAGGCTTACTCAAGATAATTCAGCAGGCTAGAGTAAGCAGGCATAGGAACTGTGTTATTTAAGTTCCTAGACAGCGTCCTAGCTATACAATTATGTTTCTAGAATATTTATTTTCAATAAATAGGAACAGATCTAGATTTAAAAGAAAATATAGCACAAAGGGAATTGAGAAGCATCACGATACTGAAAGCAAACTGTATCAGACCATAAAACAGCTCTCTTTTCTGAGTGAAAAGACACAGCTATACATACTTCTTCCCATTATTACAATTTTTCTTACATTTTATTCATGTATGAAGGCCAAGGGTATATCAATAAATTATTCATTAGGGTTAACTTAGAGATGCGTGCATATATCAACTAATGAAAACACAGATTCAGCCTCTTCCTATCTACTTCACTTCTTTTTGTTGTTGAATTTTTACTTGAATTTAACAAATGCTCACAGTTCTACCAGTGTCAACATCACATATTCTTACCTTAGCTGATAAGGAGGTATCTTGGTAGCAGCATCAGGTGAATCCAAGGTTTCTGTATAACAAAAGGAAACAGTAAGACTTTTAAAATAAACTCTGAGTTCCACATTAGTAATAGAATCTCTGAACCAGTGAACCCCAAAGCTTACACCTACTCCAGCTGACAGAATAACTGTCACAAGTGCTCCAATTCTCTATAGTCTGACATGGCTCAACCAGCACACTGGGTATCAATGAGAAGGCACCAACAATTCTGTGATTCTCTGATTCTATGAAATAATAGCCTTTCCTTAGTAAATTCCCTTTTACATACAAGCATTTCAGCAGCACAAAACTGGAACAGTACAGAGGATATCAGCATGGCTGCTGCACAAGCACAGCATCAATTCATGAAGCATACAGAATACCAAACTGAAAGGCCAGTAATGAGACAGCAACAGGTACGGACTATCACAGACTCTGCTGTAACAGTGTACTGTTAAAAACAAAGATTGCCATCTCTCAAAACCTAAAGCAGTGCTAGGTACACAGTTATCTTGATATATGTTTTGGGTCACACTGACCAGAGCTCCAAGCAGTCAATGCCAAAAGAACCTCAAATCACAGCCAACCCTGAAATTTATCTAACCTCATATCCACATAAAAGAACACATTTTAGCAACTATGCATTCCATTATACAGCAAGGATCACAGAGCTCACGGAATCCAGAAAAATACATACATAATAATAATAATAATAATAATCCAGCTTTGGAAATAGAAATCCGAACATAAGTTAGGAGAAAAAACTGCACAAGGGCGTTCATTTGCCGTGATTGATGAAATGGAGAGGAGGGAAGGGGTTGAGGTACCACAGCCCCCACACCACAGCCGCTGACACCCGTATCTGCCTCGGAAGACCCTCGAAGCCAACACCGAGAGCGGAGGGGCACACGGCTGCTTATCGGACCGCCGAACCGGTATCACAGCACCGAGCCGCCCGGCCCCTCGAGCCGCTGGAGGCGCCCCGGTGCCGTCGGCGGCAGAGCAAGTTGTGCCGAGGTCTCGCTGCCGTCGGCGGTGCAGAACCCGGCCCGCACTGCCCCGCACCTCCGCTGCCCCCACCCGAGCCCCCGGCGCCCCGCGCCCCCCGCCCTTACCGATGGCCCAGGTGCAGCTCTCCTTGATGGCCCTGTGCTTGCTCCCCGACGCCTCCTTCTGCAGCTTCCGTAGGATTTCTTCCATCTTGCTTCCCCGTCGCGTCGCCGCGGGGGCACAGGTGCAGGCAGCGATGGAGGAGACGGCAGAGCAGCGCGATGCGGCACTGGGGCTGTCCCCGAAGCGGCCGTGCCTATGCGGGGACGGTGCGCGGCACCCCGCAGCCTGCCTGCCGTCGCTGATGAATCACGCCGAGCTCCATGGCGGGGACACGTCAGTTGTTGCCGCGGCGGAGTCCCTCCTCCTCCTCCTCCTCCCACCCCGGGCAGGCTCCTGTGGCGCAGCCGGGCTGGGGCCGCGCCTGGCCCCGCCCGCCGCAGTCAGAACCCGGCGGCTGCGGCCTCGCTGCTCGCGGCGGCGCGGGGGGTTCCTCTGGCACCGGGGGGTGAGAGGCGGCGGCGGCGGCTGCCCCCGGCCGGGCAGCGCAGCGGGGCCGGGGAGGCTGCAGCCCCCGGCCGGTCGCCATGACGACCGGCGGCCCCTGCCCGCAGGACGCAGGTGTGCCCGCAGCCTGCCTGCGGCTCCGCGTCGGTTTTGCTGAGCTGAAACACGGGTCTCGCCGTCGGCCCTGCCCCGGGAGGCAGCCGAGAGCGCGGAGCGAGGCAGCCAGACGCGCCTAGCGGCGTGTGCTCAGGGCTTATCAACCTCTGAAATGAAATAAATGGCCGCGTGCACGGCGGGATCTGCACTGCTTTTCCCACCTGGAGTGTGCTGAGGGGCAGGCAGCACAGTCTGCTTGCCTTCACCTGTGCCCTGAGCGTGCACTTCCCTGTCCCCAGCCAGCCAACCAAGCCTTGCACTGCTAGCTCAGATCTGCCTCCTTGTGCCCCAGAACGCTTTCTGCCCAGCAAAACACTTTTTCAGTATCTTGTTCCCTGCCGTACCTCTAGGAAAAGCAACTCGCCCTTTCTGTGACTACATCACGTTAATTGACTGTTTTATTGCCTTTGTCTTGTTGGAGAATAAACTCCCTCAAAAGGTGCAAGAGGACAAACAAGATAAGAAAAGAAAAAGACAACAGATCAGAGAGGCAGCCCGTGCAGCAGCTGGCTGTGTTAGTGGTTGTCTCCTACCACTAATTGGAAGAGTACCAATTGTAAATCACCAGACAGAATATTGGCACATGGTGAATCAGCCATAGCGTTTCCCGTAGGGGACTGAGCTTTCAAAGGCTGTCCCTTATCCAAATTCTTACAAGGGCTGATCCCACTTGTGTCAGGAAGTAAAATGAATGAATAATCCATAGTTGCGTTTTAAAGCCAAAGTGTAAAACTTATGTCTGAAGAAAAGGATTAAAAATGATGCCAGCAAGCTCTGTAGGTGGACAGGGAACATCTAGAATTACAGCACCTAAGGATTAAAAAACCATGCTCTGGCAGAAAAACAATTACATGTCAGATTCTAGGGTGCAAACCAGCCTCTAAGCAACTGGAAGTAGTTTTCCAGAGTTCCTTATCTCTGGCCATGCACCACCTCCCTTGGAATGAGCAACCTGCAGGAGCTACTGGCAATAGCTAGTGACCAGCACTGTCCATGTACCATGGTCTCTAAGTCAAAGATCTGGCTTTTTGGGGATGTGGGGATGTGGGGATGAATTATTCCCTCCTTACTTGTCTGTCTTCTTTATTCTGTGATGCACTTAGTGGAATAAGCATGGGAGTCAATTTCTACCTTTTTAGATCTTTCATTTTTTTTTCCTGGGGCGGGGGGGAGGAGGGGGAGGAGGCGTTGGAAAGACTGCAATAGTGCTTAAGGTATTTTTAATGTAACTAAGATATGCCAGAGATCATTGAGACCCATAGAACACTAATAAATATGTATGTGTCTATTCATTGTAAATAACTAGTTGCTTATTTTCAGGAAGCAATTGATTAAGTTAATTTTGAATTCTAGATTATTTTCTAGATATATGCAACACAAATTCAGTAGTTAATTTCACCAAGGTCTGTACAGGAAACCCTTTGCAGTTGAAATCCACATGAGAGGATGCTGATGTCGCTGAATCAAGTCTTGCACTTAGAATCATAGAATCCTTAGAGCTGGAAGGGACATTTAAAGGTCATCTAGTCCAACTCCCCTGCAGTGAACAGGGACATGGACAGCAAAATTAGCTTGCCCAGGCTTGATCCAGCCTCACCTTGAAAGTCTCCAGGGAAAGTGCCACATCTCCCAGCAATCTGTTCCAGTGCCTCACCACTCTCACTGTAAAAGGCTTTTTCCTTATATCTAACCTAAGTCTACCCTCTTTAAGCTTGAAGCCATTTCCCCTTATTCTATCCATGCTGCTCTTAAACATTTTTCTTCACAGTTGTCAAAAGAGTGAGAGGAATAAGGTGCTCTTTAGAGCATTTTAAGATATGTCTATAGGATTATGCAGATGGAAAAACAAGTAAGCCATGATGACTCTTCTCAATCAAATTCATTTCAGAATACCGTGAGTCTGTTTGCTGACACTGTTCATGTAAGGTTTGCCATCTCCATGAATAGCAATTTGTCAGTCCTTGTCTCTTATCTGCAGAAAACACATAAATACTGAGTAACCATGTCCTGCTAGAACTCTTTTACTGAATGCATTTTGTGCAGACAGGATGTCATGTTTATTTATGTGCTTTGGGCTCCCCTCTAAGGAAGGTGGTCTGGAAGATACAAGATATGTAAGTCTAGCTACAGAGTAGGGAGAATGGAAAAGTATGGTCACTCTTACAGCTCTAAGTCTTCCTTTGCCATGGCCTGGCTCTCAAAAACCAGCAACCTTCTGCAATGGTAGAAGCTACAGAGTTGTCTTTGACTCCTTGCATGGTTCCAGCATTGTTGAGTTGGAAGCCAGAAGAATCTATGCAGATCTCATAACTGCAGGATGCTGTGGTTATATATTACTAACACTGACAGATATGCAGGACATTTCTGAGACTCATTTGGTGATGCTGCTGATTTACTGCAATATGTGAATGCAGATTATCATAGAATCATAGAATGGCCTAGGTTGAAGAGGACCACAATGATCACCTAGTTTCAACCCCCCTGGGTCGCGGGGTCACCAACCACTAGACCAGGCTGCCCAGAGCCACATCCAGCCTGGACCTCTGCATGCCCTACATAGCACCCAGTGAGTCCAGGTGACTGGGTCTCTATTAAAAGAATGGGGTGCTGTTAAAATGAAGATGTCCTTTTATTAATGAAGAAAAAAGCTTAGAAGTGTGTGAACAAAACCAACCTACTCAACATATTCAAAGCACTTGAATCATATTAGAACAACTCCATTAGGCTTGTAAGCAAAATTATGGAACAGCATATGCTTGCCTTTATGCTACTACAGCTCTGCTGCTTCCAGTAGACAAGGAAGGATATGTGGTGCTGGTTTAAATCTATAGCATATGTCCATATTGTCCATGCACGCACCTGATCGGTCACTGTAGTGTTTGAGATTCTAAAAATGAATAGAATATACAGTTGAAAAGCAGGATAAAAGGTTTGTTAGACTGTGAAATGTGGGAATACAAGAAAAACTGTTCAGAGCAGAAGCTGTGGAGAAAGACAAACAGCAGTGAAATAGTAATATATTTGCTATTAGTCATTATCATTCACATATTACCTGTTCTTTAGCCTTTTTAACAATGTCAGGGTCAACAACGTTGGTCAGGATCTCATTGCACTCTACAGACAGTGTGGGCCAACGAGGTGGGCTGTGTCCCTTAAAAATCCAGTCTGATTAAAAAATACAAAGAAATACCCTCCAATGACATGAAAAAAACACCTAGTTCCCTAGCTTTGAAAAGATATAGAACCAAATTTCTCAAAATTACTTTTCTAGAGGTCCTGCCTTACTCTCTCCTCCACTGACTGGAGTGACCAGACTTGCAAAAATCCTTGGGCTCAGTTTTCCTCTGCAAACTCTCTGTACATGTAACTTTACTTTTGCTGAACATATTGCTCAAAATAATCAGTAAAATGGGTGTAGCTGCAACATGGGCTTGCTAGCACCAGCTAGATACCAGACAGCTGACATCAGATGAAGATATCCTTCCTTACTTCTCCTGAAAGACAGCAAGACTTTGACAAACAAAACCTTTGCTGGGATTTGCTTTTAGTTTTGCTTGTAGAGATTGTAACTATGTCACTGATGACAGGATGGCATCTATCATTTTTTGCTTGATTACACAGAGTTACTAGAGGCTGTCTGAATGCTCAATCAAGTTGTTCCTGAGCAGGTGCTGCTTCCTGCACCCTCCACAGCATGACCTTGCAGAGCAAAGGCAAAGCACTGTGAAATGCAGTGACAAAGGGTGCTGCCGAGAGCAGGGATTGGGAGTGAACAAAGCTAGCATATATTCAGCAATGCCTGTTCAATATAACCATACACTGTTTATTCTGTAAAGAACACGTGAAGCAAAAGTAAAGTCATGAGGCCCATATCAGGATGGAAATGTGAGACAAGACTCTGGCCCTGCTGATGTACTTTCTGCAAAGACAAATGAAAAGCAAAAATCCTCCTAACTGCCTTCAATCTACCATAATCTTCTCATCTCCCCACAGAATTACAAAGGCAATCAACAAGGTATCAGAAATGCAAAACAGCCATTCTGGGTCAGATCAATGTCCTTACTATCCACAGACTTATTTGTGACAGATTTTGTTGAGTATTATTGAAGAGGGTGGAAAGACTGCCTCTTCCTCTGGTAAACTCCCACAGTTTCTGTTCATTTGCAGACTAAGCAGTTTCTGAGATGGGGTTTTATCTTTATGTATTCAGCAGTACCTGGCAGATTTTTCTTTGTGAATGTATCTAATCCTTTTGAACCTTTTGACCTTCACAGCCATTTTTTGGCAGCCAGTTCTGTAGATGAGTGGCACACAAGCAAAAGAAATATTTTTGTACAGTTTTAGCTTTTTCCTTTTTTCTGCTAATGCTGCCAAACTTTTGTACTGTAAGAAATACTGCGTTAGCATTCTCTATTCACTTTCTCCATGCCATTTATTATTCCTTATGCATTGATCATATACTTTCTTGTCCGTTTTCTTTCCAATCCACAGGAGACTGTTGTTAATTGTTTCATATATTATCTTTGGTCATAATGATTGCCCTTCTCTGTACCATATCCAGTTCTGTTCAACCCTGAAAGAGCTTGGAGAAAAGAGTAAATACACAGGGAAAAGGTAGCGTGGAGATTTGAACTAAAGCTCTTTCTTTGTCAGACTCTGCTGAAAAGGGGAAAGGAAACTAAAAGGCTTCAAGAGGAAAGGAAATTAGAAGCAACTATAGAGTTAAACTTAATATCACAAAAGTTCCAGAAAA